GGGCTTCTAGAGCCATATCTCTTAAATGCTTTGACTGATTAGATTCAAATTTATATATTCGTTATCATGTTATATATATACATGTATTCAAAATGGCTGATTTTGAATGCTGTTCCAGAGCAATATCTCTCAATAAGGACAAGTACTTTTTTGGCGATCAGATACAAATGTCAATCATTTTAATGTTAAAAAATCATATTCCTGACATGGTTATGCTCCAGTCAATGTCAACCCCAACCCCGACCCCTCCCACCTCGGGCGATATGGGACAAATGTGGGGCATTAGACAGGGTTTACCGCCAAACTGTGCCCGTGGAGGTGGGGTAATAGCTGTGTTTCGTGTCCCGTCATCGCCAGCATCGCCAGTACTCTGCTGATAGCAAGCATGGCGGACAGTGGCGATCGGTGGGAGAAATGTGAGGGGTTTGTTTTGGATGGGGATTTGCCTATCCATCTTGCCCCAGGAGGTGGGGTATTTCGCAAATTTTACAACAATAATTTCCAAATCCCCCACTAAACCCCGAGGTGGGGGGGGGGTGATTGTTGACATTGACTGGAGCATTATATTCCAGCTATATCACTATAAACAAAACTATATATCTTAAATTTGATAACTACCTGTAACGAGGACTGCGCCATGCATGGCTTGTTTTTCATATATTATCTCTTTACAAGACGCATATTTTTATTGACCCCCCCCCCCCACACCTACACCAGATTCTCACTTGGAGATGTATTGGAATCATTACATTGAAGCATATAAATCAATTTTCGGTTTTAAAACTGCGTGACATTACAGACAGATATCACCCAATTTTCGAATATTCAACATTCACTTTGCCTGCGTAAGTTGAAGAGGATTGCTTACCTGTGTAGTGAATGGATGGCAACAAGGGGAAATCTTCGAGGTCGGCTATTTCGATCCGAATAAATACTAACGATACAGACATATGGTAATATAATACGTTTTTCGTAAATAATATTGCAAGTTGGAGTTTACAGAATTCTCACTGTCTTAATAGATGTTGGAAGGTATCGCAAAAACAGTAATTATCGCAGAGGATAAACAGCTCACGCAGAGTGTACGCCATTTTGTTTTCAAACAGTATAACTTCCGGGTTAGCAATTACCATTTTTTTTTCAAACTTTGTTGTCTTCTAAGAAACACTAGAATAATACAACTGAGGAATTTGAAAGCATTACATTTTAAATTCAAGATGCTCGTTATTTGTGCATTTTTAATAACTTACTCCTTTCTTGCGACCTTTCTAACCGGAAGTGAACGTTGCAGGAGTCGCCGCCAGGGTCCACAGCGAAAGTACGGTCGAAATCGCAATTTTTGACAGGAAAGGAAGGCGATGCTCGTCGTTTGTTAGGAACCCATTGTCACAGTCCGGTGAACATGGCGGCAAACTTTTCGGCAAGTACCGGCATGTTGTATGTCTATCATAGGGGTTCTTTAAAACGTTCCCGCCATTTATTTGATTGACGTCGGCTTAAGGATTGGTCAGTTACTTCGGCCTAGGGGGGGTCGGTGGATCAGTAGGGGGGGTTACCCTGTTTTTGATTGTGCGGATAAGGGGGGGGGGGTCTCCCTGTTTTTGATAACATGTTTTCCAGAATTCACACACACGCTCATGCATATATTTTTTTAAATTTTATTTCAGAACAAACGATAAAAAAGTTAATCGTACAAATGTGTTCTTAATAATAACTACCGGTATTACCTATATTGCCTATAAATTTGTTGATGTAAAAAATGTTATAGGCTAAATATTTTGAGGTTAAAGTTGCCAAATAACTAACAGATTATGCAATGCGGCAAAAACCCCAATTATACAGTTAAGTTTTAAACACATTCCAAGTCCATGTGCTGCTGATATCAGATTATCAGGAGACGGAAAGACAACACAGCAATTAGTACAAAGAGCAGTGACAGTTTTTGTTCAGCAAATCAAAAAAGTTAAATTTGTGAAAATGCTGATATATAAATTAAAATAAATGATGAAAAAATAAAAAAATAGTTTTTGTTTTTGTTTTTTTAACTTTTAAATATGCATATTTTGCTCTATAAAATACCAAAATCACAACACAAATTTG